GGCCCAACGAGCACGTAGCTTCCGCAGCACTGTCAGCTTTGGGGTGATTGAGGTGGGGAAAGCAACTTTTGTCTGAATTTTGAGCGACGGGCTAATCTTTTAGGGGGACAATGACTGTGTCTCAAACGAAAGTCCGAGCAAGAGGGGACTGCCCCGTTTCCATCTTCTTTAACTGTTTGGTAGAATGCGCGATTTATGAGTTGAAGAGGAAAGCTAAACAGGAAAAAGTTGGAAAAGCGTTTCATGACTCCTTTCATTCATACTTTTGTACTCGCAGCCCTGTTGAGTATGCTTCCCTCCGAGCACCGGTGCACCGCAGAGAAGCAATACCTGCGGAGCGTGCTTTCATGAGTGTTCTTTCTCCGCAGTGCACCGGTGCTCATAAAGAAGCACACTCAACGGGGCTCAAGCGGGCACACATTAGCAGAAAACAGCGTTCACATTATGTGCTTCAAGACTAGCAATGATGACCAAGACGACATCGAGGATGAAGACCAGCTCACTGGCATCATGCTTTCTGGCCTTGAAGCACATAATGTGAACGCCGAGCAGGCGGAATATGCTAGTCTTGACGATGATGTGTGTGTTTGTCGTGATGACTCATTAGAGGACATAGTACAGGAAGTAATGCCAGCACAGTGCAGCAGTGAGAGTGAAGATGACAATGAAGAAAGGGATGACTTGCTACCAACTGTCACAGCCATAGCTTTGAGCACATCGATCAGCTCCGGAAGTTTCTGTCTGCAAAGGAAGAGTCCCGTAAAGAGCTACTTGCATTGGCTGGTATTGAAAATTTTGAGATTGTATGTGCTGACTAAACAGTCCACAATCGACAAATTTTTTGCCGGATGAACAAACTCAATGTCACAGCTCTTTCACTAATGTGTTATGCCTGTACTTGCTTATAATTAGGCCTATGTAGAGGAAACTGGCAAAAATCTGCTTTGTATGAGTAGCTATCCATGTAACAAATCATAATGCTGTCCAGTATCATATTTGGATGAATTTCTGATAATTCAAACTAAAATCTGTGACTTCCTGGAGTTTGAATGAGTGAGACTCTACTGTAGTTTGCTGTACGGCATTTCGCATTCAGCGAGTCATTTTGTCACTGTACACAGACGAAAGCATAAAAGCGTTCGGACAAGTTACGCATTCACGGCTGCATGATGCTGGCAACTGTAGGGTCAGTCGTTAGACTTTGCCCTTGGTGAAAGAGTCCTGTTTGTAACACTGTGCCGCTGGAGCAAATGCACAGATTGATTGCTACTTGGCGATACAACCGCTGCCTTCTCACGTCGACACATGGGAAATACCGCAAACAAAAGCAGACACCGTCACGACTTCGTAAGGTGAAACCGGAGAGGTCAAGAGCGGAAGAACTGCTTGAGTGTTGACGTGCTATGTCGCATCAACAGCAGCGGCCTGCCATTAAAAAAAAAATATACTAGTTTGCAGTTTCTTTGCTGGACGTGACGTCACGACAACTGACGGCAGCGATTGGCTGGCAGAGTGATGTAGATTCTTTTGGGGGGAATTTGCCACTGAATTCATAACCTGACATCAAATGTAGTTTCTAAACATGGCAGATATAATCGGGCCAGTTTCCGTCCACAATGCTGCCACCTAGTCTGTCGCACAGATTATTTCCGTTGCTAAGGGGCAATTGGGGCTTTATGTAAACATAGGCTGGACATGCGTGTAGGAAAAATAATATGAATGACCGACCAGATCATTGACTCTTCCAACATATTGCAAAAAAACAAAAAAAAACGACAAGTCAACATTTTTTTTGTTTTTTCTTCATTTTTAGTGGCTGTCGTGTAACATCGAAGTATAAGTACCAAGTAAAATAAAACTAAAGAAAAAGTACATAACGTAAGGTGTACATGAACTCTATAGATATAATACCAGTCCCAATGGTTTAGCAAAGAAGCCAGTCTTCTCAGAAAACCCCCTCTCTCACTGGAGTCCGTTTTCTAATATTTGAATCTTAAAAAGAAGTTGCCCCGAAAAAGCGGCAGAAAATGCACAAAACAAAGTGACAGTGCCTAAAAAGGTCACACCTGCCTTTTCACATGGCTCTCGGAACTACATGCAGTGCAGGATGCAGAACGGTACCCATGGGCTAGCTGCAGTTGTAACCCAGTGCTTGTAGTATATCGCAGCTGCTTGGAAGGGAGAGGGGCCACCTCCTTCATGCCGTGGTACTGGGAAAAGCAATACCAATTAGCCGCAGGCGTCGAGCACCTTGTATTTCTGTGCATCCACAAAGCATTTCTGGGACAGCAACGACAGAAAACTTCAGTAACACAGTGAACAAAAAAGAGACCAAAAGAGTAGGCATGCAGGCGAGCATGAATTGTAGACACAGCTAAAACTTGAGGCACAAGGAAGCAGAAAGAGGGCACATGAAGAGGCCTTTCGACTTCCTTACATGTCGGGCTTGAGTCTCGTACCGGGTAGTAAGAAGCAACAATACTGGTTCCCTGGCCTTTCCTGTCTCAACAAGCCTTGAAACAAAGATATCCTACTCGTCATTCATCTCGTTTTCTCTTCTCGGGCGGATTAAAGTGCACGCTGCGGCAGTAAACTGCCTCGAAGGGGTCAAGTCACACTTCTAAGAGAATGATTGGCGAGCAACTTCTCCATTGTGTACTACGTGCACTCCATGTTTTAAAGGGGTACTCCGGCATTTTCTTCATTGTCCCCGATTTGCCTAAGAACTTGCTAAGCACATCAACAAACATCGCTGAAATAGTAACCGAAATATCTGGCCGAAATAGCTTTTTTTCGCAAAGTTACAGAATTTACAATTTTGGTCACCATTCTGTTTTTCAAAGTGGAAAGCTCTACCGGCAACATTGAAATTGAGACGTCATGGGAAGGCAAAGGTTCACTCTTAGGGCTGTAGACTTTGTTCACAACTGATCACAAACAGTTTCATTGTGTCAAAAGAATGCTTTGGAAGGTCGCCCCAAATCCCATCCAGCAGCACGAAACAAATGCTCGGCATAGTTCATTTCTACACAGCCGCTTGAACCGTGAGCCTGTCATCCCGCGACGCAAGGACGTAACTAGAAGGGGTTCATGGAGCCCGGCCCCGCCCGGCCCGCCGCTGCCGCCCCTCGCCCCCAAAACAAAATCCTGGCTATGTTCCTGCGTGACGTCACGGCAATGAAAAGCACAAGTATATTTCAATCTTGGATTGGCATTATACACGACAGTGGTAGGAACATTACTTGTGTCGAGCTAGAGAAGCCATATTGGGGGCTACCCCAGCTACGTCCACACTGGCTTTCATGGCAGTTATGTGCGATGCAGACAGCTTTCACTATTTCAACCGAGTGCCTAGGCAAACAGAAGCAGCCACATAAGACAATCAGGAAAAGACGCCGAGTTGTACAGGCTAAGGAGGAAGGTCATAGTGCAGCGAGCTATCTAGTCCAGGCTATTCCTCTGAGAAATGCAGTCGGTGGAAATGTAGGTGAGTTATTCCCGCCATCAATTTAGGTAACTAATGCAAGCATTACACTATTTTGCATATTTCTCTACTGCAATGCTAGTCATCCGCAGCAGAAACAACGCCCCAAACTAAAAAGAATTCTCGTTACATTGTTAACACAGACATCAAGTCCGTAAGCGAGCTGGAGTTCATCAAAGCACAACCGAGAATCTCTCGGAAGTACTTGGTTCCTTTTCAGTAGTTATTGAATGAAAACACAGTGCAGTGGTGATTACCATCAGCACAGCCTTGCCACTGGCACTGCTGTCCCTTGGGTGGCACATGCACGACATGGCCTACAAGCCACATATATCCCTAAAAGAAAGCTGCATAGGATGCACTTACCGTGGCTAGCGTCGCCACCCAGCAAGCTTGCACAAACCCTCTGCATGGCACGCAGTGCTGTTCAGAACAGAGCGCCACTGGCTAGCCAGTTAATGCGAAGGCTTGTAGTGTCTTGCTGCTGCCTTGGCAAAGCTGCAAGTCACCTCTTTCACGCCTTGTGGTGCCCATCAGCTTCAAAAGAAACGGTGTTGAGTCGCGACCAGTAATATGCAAAACAAAAACGAGAACGGCTCGGTTATTAATAAGTTGTGTGCAGCAGAGGCACGGGTGCGAGGGCGTAGCTTCGCAGAATGTTCTTTTTGCACGGCTGCTCGTGCAAAAAGGGCGCTTTTGTGCTCGGGCTTGTGCCTTTTCTGCACACAACCTATGTTACAGAGTGTATAGCACGCCTTCGAGAGCACTCGCGTGCGGCGAGAAATCCATAATACACAAGGTACGATCGCAGGAAACCTCGCAGGGGTGCAGGAAGCTGCAAGTGCACGGTGCACCAGAATGTGAAACTAGAGGTGGTGATAGAATTTCACAGTTTGAGAATATGACGTTACTTGGGTCAAAATATAGAAACGATAAACGTAACTGCCTTACCGGCTGATGATAAGGGCCACCGGAGCACGACCAACTATTTTTTGTGATCGGGGCATTCGATTGGACGCGGGTTGGTAAAGATTTGAAAAACACGAAAGAATAAAACATGTAGGGACGAAGACAGACAGCGCAGTTCTTTGTTGACATGAAATGTAAGATCAAGCACATTATTTTGTCGGATCAAATGGTTTTGTTGAATTAGGTTTAGCTCGCAAGTTAGCCGTTCTTCGGCGGGCTTTCAGCTTTCTGCGATGGTTGTTTTAATTGTGAACGCAGGCTCAAACAATGTAGGCAGCGGCGCCAAATAGATCTGAAACGAAGAAACAGCTCGGACGCGTGGAACGAACACACATAGAGATCACATCACAGGAAAACTCAAACCACTCACCTCTCGTTCGTCAGGCACGATGTTTCCGATGTTTCTCCGGCCGTTGAGGGGACCGCGTCTGTTTCCGTGCTCCTATTGGTCGTGACGTCACCAAATTTCATCCAATAAAGTGCGCGCCGAAGTTTTCTCTAGTCGCCGGTAAACGAGCCGATCCGGCTGATCGTTGCGTTGGTTGCGTTGTTCCGGCGGGGCGGCGGGTCTCTCATCGCTGTGGCAACTTGTGTGCGCGTGTTATCAGTCACAGATCCGTGCCGTGCAGTACGCCGCGGCCTCCCCTACGCTGATTACCTACACCTCCGTATCGGTCCGTTCGATCTCCATCTCCAACTTCGCTCTTCCCGTCGGATTTTCTTCTCCCATTCGGGCCGGCCAGCCCGCACCATCATCCTACTTCGCCGCCGTCGAGGGCCCGACGCCTTTGGCCTGTCGAGCTAGGCCTAACTCCTCCGTAGAAGCGAGTTCACGCTTCGTCGTCCGAACCCGGCCGCCGCCGGATCGTCGAACATCGCCGCATCCTCGACGCGCTCGAACAAGCCGGCAGGAACCATGGAGTGTCTGGGCCAGCCCGAATCATCTTGACACGAATTCACTTTGAGCTTAGCGTTTTTTTTAAAGGCAACCATGTTGCCCAGATGAGACTGGCCCCACCACCACTCTGCGCGGGCTGGTGCGATTGAATTTGCGGACTGCGTGCGCTGAGGTCTGCTCTGCGCTGTCGGACAGTGTTCGGCTGCTGTCGCCGACTCGTCAGAACGATGACTCAGCGGGAACACCGACTGTTGTGCGGCCGTCGTCAGCGACGACGTCAGTCCAGCATTCAGCTGGGTCCGTGCAACGGAGCCGGCCCTGCCGAAGGAGACGGACTGCTCGGTGGAGTTAGCGGTGAGTTGTACCTCATCTTGCACTCTCGCAACTTTTCTGTGTCTTCCAGTTGACTGATTAGACCAAAACGCATTGTGTGAATGAACGTCCTACGGTCTGTGGGAAAATGCCACTGTTTTGAGCGGACTGAACTTCGCCGTCCCTTAGCGGACGTGTGTAACGTCGTGTTCAGAAAACCAACTTTCCGTTTAACAGCAAGGGTGTTGTCGGTACTCGAGCATCACCAATGCGTAGCAGTCGACTCTTTCCTCGTGTTTCCCAACATTCGAGCCGCTACGCAGCAGCCGGAAAACAAAGTCCCCCAACAACGGTCAGAAAAAGAAAAAAAAAAAAAAAAATCTTAATCAGTTTAGACAAAGTGTTAATGACCAAATGCGTGCTTGATTTTTGATACAACTGAGAACTTTACTGGTTGGTGGTTGAACAAAGCAAGCTGCTGCTCAAAAAAAGGAGAGAAAAAATGTTTTTTTTTCTTGGCGATTATGTTGACAGTGTTATGTACGCCAACCGCTCATGTAAGCGCGTTCCGAGAACGGCGGGAACAGATGTGATTAAGCGCGACGTAGTTGCATGCACCGAAAGCAATTAACATCTTTTTTACACGTCAACTCGGTGTCACATCGCATGTATGGCGTCGGCAAAATCGTTTACCCTTTCGTCTTGTCAGCCTTCAGTATTGAAGGCTTAGTGCTCTGCCAATTAAAAGTAATAAAAAAATGAAATGAAAACAAGCAAGAAAACGACGTAAGATGATATTCCACAAATATTACCGGGCCTGACGATCGCCTAATCTTGTGAGATCATTTGTTCCGTTCCTTCTCTTTTGCTCTGCTGCAAGCACCTGTGCATGGGCACCGCCATAACCGACCATCACTTTTTGTATTCTCTCTCATTTTGATCGCTTCACTACATCATTACCATAGCAGGACAGGTTATTGACATTTTAGATTCGACAGTGACCTCTTTCCAACATGAGGCTTTCTGGAGGTTCGCCAAAGCCCGCTTCAGTGGCTTGGTATCTCGGTAAGACAAGAGAAGGTCAGCAATGGCCGCTGTAATCTCGTGCGTGCGTGAAGCGTCTATACTCCATTTAAATGCATATATCCGCATATAGAATGTGGCCATCCAAAACATTTATCCTTTCTTTTTTTTTTTTTTTTGCACCAAAATAAATTACGGATTGCTGAACGCTTGTTTTCTGCCCAAATGTAGTGCTAGCGTTCCGAAGCAGATTCCAAAGTATCTGAAGGATCGGTCATCTCATGCAAAAGTCACAAGTGATGTTCTGAAAGTTTCAGTGAGAAAGTAGAGCTTGTTGTCGACAACTGGCACCATTCAGCATCTTGCGAAAAAAACTCAAACCTAAAAAAAAAGCTGCGTCCCTTATACACGTTTGCAAGTCCGGCTTCAGGGCGCTGCCATCTTGCCTGTCTGGGGTGCGCTTGAACCAGTCATAATCCGATTACGAAGCCTTGCTAAGGCGTCGTAATCGGATTATGGCCGCTCCCGAGAGCGCACCCCACTGAGGAAGATGGCGGCGCCCTGAGACCGGACTTGCAAACGTGTATATCAGTTGGCTCATTCGATACGGCCGCTGTGTCCGAAGTATTGCTAGCACCGAAGGAAGAGCCAGCATTCGTCGATCCGTTGCGCCCACTTGTTGGATCCGTCTACGCAGGAACGGTATCAGCCGCCTACCAGTCGTCCGAACCTAGCTGCAGATAGAAAGGGCTTCGTGTGTCGTCGCTGTCACTTGACCGCCCAGGGAGTAGCGGCAGCATGGGTGTCGGTCGTCCTACGCGCTCACATTTTATCGGCTCAAAAATGAGACAACGGAGCGGTCTCCGCGCTCCTGCGCACAACGCCCAAGATTCCCCGCTGCGTGGTGTTCGGTTGAATCGGTTCAGGAAGACGCCTTCGTCGAAGAGCCAAGTTTGTGCGTCTGCTGGGGCGGAACTCAACTGGGAATTCGGCTTTATCGCTAAGTGGACCATTTCCGGGTTCGCACGTGCGCGTGCGTGGAGGTAACAGACGGGCCTTCGCAATTTGTTTCGTTGTGTGCTCGGGCTGCAAATCAAGGAGCGCGCAGTGACTCATGGGAGCATTGCCTGTAGATGCTCCTGCTGGCGCCGCCATCTTGAATTGTCGTCACTTCTAGTATGGGCGACGACAAAATAATAAAACGTTTCAACCTGTAACTAGCAAAAAAATAGAGGGGAGTCAAAACGAGAATGTGTGATGGTTAGGCTTATATCCTAAATGTCTTTTATTGGCGTGGCAACGGCAAAACGATGTTTTCTCCCATACTGGAAGTGACGGCAATTCAAGATGGCGGCGCCCTTGTGGAAAAGCTCTATACAGGATGTTCCCAGCAATCCTTTCGGTGCTGCAGATGGCGCCACACATTGTGCAGAACGTCAAAGTTCTGTTCATTCGTCGATAGCAGCAGCGTTATAGGTGCACGTGCCATTGTCAACCCTGCAATGGAATCTAAGTGATATAACTATGCGAGAGCGTTTTACATAAACCGGTTCTTCACGAAAAATTTTTCGCGTCTACGGCACGCGCGCTCCGACGAACCTCGTCGTCGTTCTCATTGCAAAGCTCTGGGAGCAAAACACGTTTCCTCTGAAAAAATGCGAAATGATATTTTAGGCTCACAAACGCACCACACCAGAGCTGAGCGACGACGTTGTGTGTGCAGCGTCATTTCGCGAAATCGGGACAGATCCAACGAAAAGAACCCGCGCAATTTCCGGCGTGCGCCGTTTCTGGGATCATTTCCTGTGCTCGCAGTTCGTTTCTATACAAACCTGCGGAGGTAGCGCATAGTGCAAGCTGTAGTCTGCCACGCGTCGTCAGGTAATAGCGCCCTATACGTCTACACAAATGGACCCCCTTCGAAACACTGGCCTCTGTTGGCAGCTGTGAAATCCCTGCACAATGGCGGACTAAAAGCGCAACGTCACGGTATTCTTTATGCTTTTCGTTGGATTAGAAGGCAAAACACACCCACGGAATAAGGTGACGAGCGAACGCAGTGACGTTGCACTTTTGACGCTGTTTGGTTGGATCTTCGCCCCCTAGCGTTGGCTGACCTCCGACTGTCCCTATCTTATGAAATTACTTGCACCTTCCGCGATGTCAGTTGTTCCGCCATTGTGCAGTGGTTCCAACGAGGTAGAGGGTCTTAGAGCGATATGATACACTGGTATCCCGTTCACCAGGCAAAAGTGATCCCTGATGTCTCTAAGTAAGCTACACTTCAGAGTGACGGTACTTGGCCATATTGTGGCTTGAAATCATAGTTGCCATTTATCTTAATCTTCATTATCTGGAATCACAGGAAACGCTTTTCCGTCCTCCATAAATGTTTAAACAGTTCGCGATAAAGCAAAGCAATATTGCATCAGCTTCCTAACAGCGAATCTAACGCTGAGGAAGTCGCACTTTTGAATCATGACTATCGCCAGTTGCGTCTGCTCTGCACAAGCACCAAAATGGCGGTGCCCACAACATTGTCATTTAGTGGCCCTAGTGACCCCCACTTGGCTGCTGCCATGTACAATTTTGACCACTAGACACGTGACCGTACCAAATTCTGAGGCTTCTACGCCAAACTGAGCCAAGATTTCTATTGCAATCGCTGTAAAAAAAAAAAAAAAAAAAAAAAAAAAAAATATATATATATATATATATATATATATTTTTTTTTTTTTTCGATACTGTTATTTTAGAGATCAGTGTCTGTGCCGCAAAATACAGCACCGCGGCTGACCGCATCTTATGGAGGCATTGCGAAGCTGGCCGAGTTTTTGTCGTAAAATTACACTTTGGACTTAAAACAAACGAAACATAACTTTTGACGAAAATAATCCTGGAGAAAAGATTATTGCCCAGCTCGTTTGCACCTTTGCATTTAATTGCATTATAATTAAACGTAATTTATCTCGTCGGTTCTGTTGTTAAAGATCAATAAGCAGTTATTAGTGCGCAGTACTTCGTTGAAATCTAGACGTGAAACTATAAGGTCACGTGTCTAGTGGTCAAAAACGTGCAACATGGCGGCGGCCAATTGGGGGTCACTTTCAACTGCCAGTTGATCGCCCTAAGGCCCTCTACCTCGTCGAGTGGTTCCGTCCTTCTAATAGTCGGCATGTGACTTTTAAAAGGCGTCTATTATTGCCGGTGATATACTTTTCCGATAGAACAGGTGCACGACGAACACCAAGACAGTGCGCTTTCGTAGCGTCGGCTGCGTCCGGACCTAAGCTGAAACGAAGATTAGTCCCGAGAAGCCAGTTACCACCGCCTAGAAGTCAAGGCCGTAGTACCGAATCAGTTGGCGTCATCAGAGAAGGCCAACGCTGGAAACAGATTGGAAGCAAACGAGTGCTGCGTCAGTGCTCGATCGACTTCGGGTCAAGTTTGAGCCGAACGTTGGCGCAATCGTTGTATCCAGGGTTGCCAGGTAGGTTCTAGCTAAAACCGCCAAATGCCAGATGGTGTAGCCCAAAAGTAGCCAAATGCAAGAAACCAAAACAATTCTTTGGTTTCTGCAAGAAACCTCTGCAGAAACCAAAGAATCGTGCGCTTGAATGTACGAGCTCAAGGCGAAAGTACTGCGTCCGCATATCTAGAATTTAGGAGCAGCTTGCAAGATCTACGACATCTTGAAATCTATTGAAAACGTTTTATTTGAAACACAAAAAAAGTACTAACACTTTCCACGCGTTTTTACGGTTACATACTTATCAAACAATCGTTCGTGCTCGGCTGACTGATTTTGATTGATTTTCGTTTTAAAAGGGACAAAACATTCTTCAGTAGGGTTGACGTCCTTACGGCACTCGTCCTTCCCAATAAAAGCAAGCTTTACATAGAGGATGTTGAAAAGTTGGAAGGGACATCCTGTTCCTTAGTTCTGACTTTGTGAAGGACACGTTACTAAATACTCTCTCCGGCATTCGACATGGGCAGTGTCAGGAGCGTGATGACAA